TGGATTCATGTCAGATCTTCAGTTAATGTACTTTGAATACTTTGTCCTTGATTGAATTTTCTGAAAGCCGGTGCATGTGTTTATTGAAATATGAAGACAAGAAAGTGACTCAAATACTGAGCTGCAGTCAAATAACACAACTTTTGATGTACTGGTACATGCATACTTTAAAAAAATTATTTGGAAATAATAAACAAGATAAGAGATATTCAGTAAGTCATTTTTTTCTTTGACTTGATATTACACTTTTTTCATATCCGGTCTCTGCCAGCCATGTAAAGGTGGGACATTAAAACGTTTACATGTTACATGTTAAAATGTTTAAACGAAAAAGTTCCAAATCCATTTACAGATTTCCTCAAATTTTTAAACGGACCATCCCTGTTAGAGGTTTGACGTTTTGATTGACGCAATCTTGGGTCTACTTTTATTGTAATTGATGCCCTTAAAATGTAACCTGATGTTTAGAACACTTCACTGCTTGGTCATATCAAAGGAATACCATGAATTCATCGCCGAAACTTTGTGTTAACAATTTACATTTGATACAATTTGTTGTATACATGTACATTTAAAGTTTTCAAGGACACCGTTGTAAGGGTAGGCCGTTGACACCTTTAAACGTTATGGGTATGTTTTCTTCACATTTTTCAAATGAAACGTAACCTCCTACCCTTATACAGCCATATATGTGTACTTGCCCAGTGTTTTGGTGTGCAATTTAGATTTTTTTTATGTCATAAGTGTGCAGTTGCTTGGAACTGCTTCTTGACAAATAAAATTTAACATGCAACGCAAAACAGAAATTGAATTTGTGTGTCAGGAGCCTTCTGAAAACCCTTTAAATATTTGCAGGATTTATGCTCTATGCAGTGTGTCTGTTTGGGGTCAAATTACATTGGGTTGAAGCAATGCCTTCAGGGCATGCATGTAACGACTATTTCCTCTCTGTTACTTGTACAGTATGGCCAGAAATTCCCCGATAGCCGATTTCTTTTGGAGTTGATGGCTCGTTATGAATATTAAATGTCACTGGCATAATGCATCGGGTCTGGGTTCTCCTGAAAAGGCTTGCAGCAGGGCCATGAACGGCCTACACGCTGATTAAGAGGAGTCCAACCACGACTCCGGTTACTCCTAGTTGCCTTGGTAACAAGGTGTTCTAATCCCAGCGCAGAGTACCGAGGGCTGCGCTGGGGAGTCAGCGGTGGAAGTGGGGGGGGTGAAAAAAAAAACAAAATTATGATGAATTCCTGGAGACATGTGGCATCAGGATTACTGGCCTATCACAAATACCCCTCAGTGTCCAGGATGCATCGGGCTAATGGAATTTATAATCATATTGGTTGTCAGCTGTACATCTATTGCATGCAAATGTACATGTACATTGAGCATTGTACTTGTGCATATATGCTCATCATCCTGATTTCTAGTGACTGTTTCTATTTGGAAATATTCATTCATGTACTTTGTATTCATATCGGTTGATTGCTTTACATGTAAAATCAGATGGCATTCTTTGTATGCGTCTTGGGGCTACATGTCGTTCATGTTGGTGCATTGTAGTGGCTATTGTTTGCAGTTGTACATGGGTTGGGTTGAGAATTTGGACGTACTTAATATATCACTCATATAAAAAAATTTCATTTCAGCGAAAAGGTATGAGAAGTATCTTTAAGAATCAGATTTTATTGGTTAATTTTCTTTGATTTGAATCTTGTAGCGTTATACGTGTTCAGTACACTGTGACTTTGTAGCTGGGTAGCATTGTTGCACAGTGCACATGTTCATGAATAATACATGTACTATACATGTATACAAGAATTCAAGACAAATATTTGTCAACACTACTTGCCTTGGTGGACTCATTCATGTGTTGATGTAGGCCTACAATGTAAATGTCTGTGTAATACAGGTACAAGAACATGGACTCTATGTGTGCATGTACAGTACATGTAGTTTTTGTTCCATCCATTCACTGGCAAGATGATGATAATATACCTGTATTTTTCTCCTCTCCTACACAGAAACGATCCAAATCCATCACCAGATCTCAATCCAGTCAACAAGTTCAGCAATTGTGGCTGACGGGAGGGGAGTCTAAACCAAGGTGTTGTACTCTGTCCACTCTCCCATGCTGGAAACACCCCTCGGGCTGAAATGAGCCGGCCCGAATAATAATTGCGCTCTAGGGACATGCTGCAAATTCAAGTTGCACAAGTAAGTGACATGACTGGTATGCCATTGGACACCTGGCAAAGCACCCACAATAATACAGAGGCCAGTGGGGTTTCATTGCGTTGATTTGACCCAAGTGTTCACCTATTATTCATGTGGCATTTTCAGAGTTCAGATTGTCCAGGAAATGCTTGCTCCCTCAGAAGTGTGTTTCTATTGAATTTTTTTCATTTCATTGTGGTTAAGTGGTGTTCATGTGCCTTGACAAATACCGTACATGAACAAGTAGGCCCACATGGGAGGAACAGATATTAATCACTATGTGTGCATTTGAGTTTTCATGAGGGAATGATATTTTATGTACATTACCATAGCTCAAGCAGAGTAACATTCAGTCCATTGTGTGGATGGTGTATTCTTGTAATGAATACATTCATCAGGCATTTTACAATGGCATTCACAGCGTCACGTACAGTACTGGTACATGTATATGAGTACAGTAGATCACATTTTTATATTCGTCGCTGGAGTACCCTTGTATGTCTAAGCCCAGTCGAAGCGGTCACAGTGGCATGTTTATTCACAGCCATCTGTCCATTACCCTGTTTGAATCTACATGCAAGGCTGTAGTCGGTGATGAGTCAAGCCATGCACGGCAGCAGACTGCCTCTTAGGTGGGCCTATGCACTAAATTTTTCCCTCCTGGTTTTGGATGTGTTGTTATTAAAGTCTGCCATGTGGTGCTTGGGGGAGGGGGTTGTGTGTGTGTGTTAGCCTTGGCAGCAGTCAGTTTGGTATGCCAGGCTTACAGGGGTGACCTTCTGGACCTTAGCATGCAGAAGGAATGGTAAGCAGGCCTGTAGAATTTTATGAACAGTACACTGTCCTACATGTATATTGCGTTTGTGAAGTGAATACTCATACAACATGAGCGTGCCCAGTGGGGCCTACCCTCACTTTGTGTGTGTGTGTTGTTATAGTCATACAGTGTACATTGAGTACATGTACACGTACATACATGTATTGGATACGATTGAATGGGGATTGTCTTCTCTGAATGTGGCATTTTTCACATGTGCGTACGGATATTAACATCATACACTGTACGCTGTTTTTAAATTTTAAAAAAACTGGAAGTTCCTACAAAAAATCAACTCTTTGTCAAACTCCAAAGAGTGGCTTTGTTTTTTGGGGGTTATTTCAGTCATCATACCAGACCTGCTCTTTGACAATTTGACAAGGAGCATCTGCCAGTTAGTTCATGGAATTTCTACAAATGATATTTGTGTGGTAAAGACATTATAGTGCAGTGCACTCACCACAGACCTACATGTACCAGTACATGATGAACCTACCCGTACACTGCATACATTGTAGGGGTACGCGAGTTTGAGATTAATGTCACAAATGGTTATTCTACTGCACCAGACTGGAGGAGATAGACATGCAGATTTTTTTCCTGTGTTCAGTTGTCAAAAAATATGTTCTAAATTCAGAAACATTGTAAATCCTAATCTTCCAAATCTGGTACGTGACTCACCTGTCGACGTTAAAAGAGTTTACATGAACCATTTATTTCATCTCTGAGTTAGATGAACAGCCTCACTGAAATGTTCCAAACTTGTCATTTTATGTTTCTTTCAGTCCCTCTGTTTGTAATTTTCATATAAAATTACGACTTTGGCCTCTAAGTCTAAGCATTTGTTAAAAAAATGTGAACAAGAATATATAATTTAGTACATGTTATGTATGTACATTGTATGAACATCCAACCTTCAATAAGCACTGTTGTGTAGATTCATGTGTTTGTCAAGCCGGTGTGGTATAACAGATCTTACAATTGAGTCTTGACATTCACAAACTGCAGCAATAACACAGATGGTTCTGTGCGGGAATGCTGGTGAAATGGGGGTTCTTCCATTTGTAACACTCAACATGTACATGTAAGCCTACAATCCTCAGTGCTGTAAGGAATTGTAACCAGCCAATGTACATGTACATGGTTCAGGTACATGTACATGTATGCATATATGTAAACACTTGGACTTACATGTAGAGTACTGTTCATGTGTACTTCAACACATGTACATGTACACTGAATACTGTACAAGTGTATACCTGTTATGTGTGCATTGCAGTGTACATGTGGTACCAGTGTAAACTTGCCCAAGGAAATACATTCAGGGACCATCTCGGCAACTAGGGCAAACACACTCAGGGATCATCTCAACAATCCTCAGAGGAAATCAGATATTATTCTATGCCACTGCCAGGAAGCTGTGCATTGATAAAGCCCAAACAAAAACAACGTTTCCGGTAACCTTGAGCAAAGTGCCTTTTTGTGACCTGAATCTGTTATTTTTGAAATTCCGATACATGTAGTCGCACATGTAAATTGTGTGGAATCTTGTCTTCAACACGTGTACCTACAGTACTGTATTCTCGCAAGACATGTTTGCACAGAATGTGCTATGAGTCACTTTTACACTGTAAAGCTGTAAACTGAATAGTGATTTTAAAACTCTGCACATTTAGGCAGACATTTTAAAATATCAGTTTAGTATTTTAATGTAGCATTGTGTACATGTATTAAAAATGTATTATTAAACAAATTAATTTCTTGATCTCTTGGTCAAATCTACAAATCAGACTTTTTTCTTGAAAAACATTTTTTGACACAATTTAGCATTTTCCTGCTTGAGCCCTGTGTCACTGTTACTGAACATGAAGTGCTTTTTTCCAAACCTACCTGTACATTTACCCATAACCTACCATACATGTAAAGTGCCAAAACCTTAGGCTGAATCTCATGAGGATTTCACAAATATGAAAGACAAACATTTAAAACAAGCCTGGTGTGAACAAACAGTGCATGAAGCAAAATGGAATTTCACTGGTGCCAATATCTTATGTTAATGGTCCAACTTTTGATAACAAATGTATGGAACCAGCAATTTTCCAGACCAGTGCACATGTGCCTCCAATGCAGATCAGCTGTATGCTTGGATTTGTATACCCTACATGTGCAAAATATGTACAGTGCATTCTGGTAATGTGCAAATGTGCACACGACCTTTACATTATGTAGTACTGTGCTTTATATTTACACACATGTACATGTATATTTCTTGCATGGAAATTGGAATTACATTTACAAGTACAATATGCTTAACCTAGATTTGTTTCAGCATAAGATTTAGTTTAAAACTGGAACTTTGCGCAATACATGTAGCTGGAGCACATTTATGAACATTCCCCTGTCATTTTTGAATGTGTTCAATAATTCAGCAACGTGAGCAAAAAAATGATAATCATTCATGTGCCGGTATAGGAAATGTCTTTGATAGTGAATACACTTTCAAGTTGTAATGAAAAATCTTTTAAATTACGTTCTTTGGCCTGAAGCTGTAGATTGGTATTGTGTCAGTTGTTGATCTTTCTATGTGTGATTTGTGATTTCAAATAAAGAAAAGAACAAAAATCCATGTATTTGTCCTCTGAAACTCTGGAACAGCTCTTTACTGTGTAGTGACATACATTACAGTGTCATACATGTACATGTACGTGGAAGTTGTACCATAGAGCCTGGTAATTATTGATGGAGCTATACTCTGTGTACTGACAATGGGGAGTGTGGACTCCTGGATGAATAAACCCACTTACCACAGTACAGATACATCGACTGTCCTCACTTGATGGTTGGCCATGTACATGTACAAACATGCTGTATACGGTGAACCAAAACATCTGTGCCTTTTTGACAGACCTAATTACATTGTCCAGCGTTAGTATCCACCCCAGTTTTATGGCATGAGTCAGTCGCTAGTGAGACACACTTACAATGTACATGTACATAGTAACAGAAAATCTAAAATTAAAATATTCTACTGAAAATGGGTGAACTTGTATACTGTAAAGTGCTGTGTGTAATCGAGATCGTTGAGAGTAATTTATAGTAGCTCATTATGAGAGTTCTCCGAAGATTTTTGGGGGTTTGGGTGTTTACACAAATCCTGCAGAAGGCAGAAATGAACAGGGGTGTGAGAATTCAGCTATTTAGCTGATTTCAGCTTTTTTGTGAGTAGATGTTGACCCTGAATTTCAGCTTTTTTGTACACTTGGTCTGCACAAAAGTGTGTGAACTTTTTACATTTCAGCCAGCCACTCACACCCCTGAATGAATGTACGTGTTCACCTGTTTACATGTATTTGCTCTGGGTTTGCTTTTATTTTTGTGTCTTTCATTGTCTGTTTTAAGGTCTCTGTAACAAACTCTCTATGACACAACATGCAAATGAGTAAGTGTTGAGTTTACTTGTGTACAATAATGTCTGTGTGTACAGTACGTGTTCATGTACATGTATGTACCACCTAACACGTGTACACGTACACGTACGCTGTTTACCCGGTACGGTACATACCAGACTTACAGTGTTGGCCTATGTACTAGGACCGTACATGTACTTTATCGAATTCCAGCATCTCATGAATGTCATGAAATACAACTTACAGCTTACATGTATGTCAGCCTAACTGATACACATGTACATACATACATGTACATGTAGGCCTACATACCCGGTACATGTACACGTACAGTACACACACTTCTGGTACATGTATTGTACACGTTACACAGTACATATATGGATGTGTGATGTGGATTTATTCAATATCGGCATTCTTGCTTGCATAGAAGAGAGATGGCCCTAATTTCACCAGCAGTAGATGGGGTTGTTCTTCTGTTTCCTGGAGTAATTGGAAGGGCGCATAATAAATGAGACCGTTGGAACCGTTGGAACCGTTGGTCTGTTATTGAAATCAGTGGTGAATGAAGAACTTTGTGGATATACACATGTAGTTTAAATTCATTCACAGTGGGCATTCTACATTGAGATCATTGTCCTGGGTACCAGACTTGCCTTCCTCCTTGGGCAGCAGATGGTGTTCTGAATACGAGTGCTTGTGAGTGGCATACATAAATTTTTCTGGCTGTTGTTTCTTTGTGTAAAAGACCAAAAGCCAGTGACTGCTTTGTTGTT